TGCGGAGCCTTCGCCTGAAGTCTCTCTCCGGAGCAGCTTAATTTCCTGCATGGCCTCCTTCAGCCGTTTCAGTTTCGGTCGCAACTCCTCGAAGTCGTTGCAACATGTGTCGCTTCCGCTCGTGAGGGCAACAACATCCAAGAGGTATGCGAAATGCCGCTGCATCACACTGCTCTGTAGGTCAATAAGTTGCGATTTCTTCAGCTGCACGATTGAATGCAGCATCGTATGTGGCATTTCCTGCAACCTGGCCAATAGTCGTTGCCGCAAGGCATCTCCAGCAAACGCACATGAGAAACTGGCAAGCAACACTCTTCCGACGGCAGGGCACGAGAAATCTCCGAGATCATGAACGTCAACTTGCAGTGCACCCAATGAAGTCAGAGCCTCTATCCAGCCCTCCACAACACTTGACAGCCTGTTCGTGCCAGACAGGCTCCCCAAGAGGAAGGCGTAAGGCTGAGCCTTGCCAGACCTCTGCGAGATCGACGCAAGTCCCGCGGAGTCGACCTCCGAAACGCGCTGAATGCACTCGCTTGAACTTCGCAGGTGCATGAAGAGCCTGTTGCGGCTCTCGAACTTCGAGTTGCACCAGCGACAAAGGAGGATGCTGTCACTCTGTTGGGCAGAGCTTGTTTCGGCAGTGTCCCGGTAGCCATCTGGTACATAACCATCACAAACAAGCTCATCTTTCTCACAACATACTTCAGCCCTGCCCAGCACCGCTTGAGCGAAAACTGCATTTTGGGTTTGGTCCTCGAAAAACTTGAAAGGGTCGATATCTTCTGCTGCACCTGTGGGCAAGTGGACCTCAAACATTTCTGAGTCTGCCCCAGGCAAAGATGGGGCTGACATGTCCATAGGCACACGTACTGTCTTTGAAACATGCATTGCTGCAGATGCTGATCGAATGCAGAGAACGATGCCCACCAACTTAAAATCCGAAACCCCAAAATTCACGAGGCCATCGCACAGTCTGCAAAGTTCATGTGGTGAAAAATATGAAAAACTTGCTTTGGCTCCCAATCTCCCGTCACAGACAGACCCATCTGTTGGTGCTGTTGGCGTTGGGTTGGAGGCAGGCGATGCATTCCTCACACTCTCCAGGTTCGCCTTGGAATCCACCAAGCAGCACGTGACGAAAAGCTTCCGCCCAGATGACCGTGCTGCGCGGCGAAATCTCTGAACACAGCGATGCAGGTAGTCATGGTCCTGAGGAGGCCCGTCGTAGGTTGCGGCTGCAAAGTCACGGTTCAGAGGTTCTTACAATCCTATCCGTTCGAACCCTTGAGGCACCCCCTGCTGGCTATCCTAGCAGGCCGAAAGCCTTGCACTCCTGTCGCTTCCGCGATGGATCGTGGTGCAGGAACGTGAAGGATGGCCAGCGACCAGGCAGCCGCAGCTCCGAGTAACGCGCGTGGCCGGCGCCCGCACCTCGAGGGCAGAAGGTCAGAAGGCACCGAGGCAGAGGATGGCACGGCCGGCGCTCAGGCTGCTTGTCTGCTTGTTCTGTTTTGCTTTCGCCTTTGACCCTAGGCCCTAATCGCTACCGAGTCAATGTGCCTCGCTTGCCCAAGGGCCGGTACTCGCGAGGATCCAAGAAGCTGCGAAAGTCATCATGCAGGCAGTCCCTGACCATAGCAGGAGATGAGAACACCCAGTCAAAGGGCATTGCAGACCTAAGCTGGCAACATGGCGGCCACACTGATCCAAGGCTGGGGCAGGGTCAGGAAAGGCCAAGACGTGCCAAGACATGCCAAGATGTGCCAAGCTGCTTTCTCCAGCCATTGTGCTGCAGCCACATTGCAGTCAAACAGTTAGAGCCCAGTGAGATGACTCGCACGAAGGGCGGCGGAGGCTCGCAAGAGGGATGCCTGGCAGTCATCACGGAACAGAATGCTCCTTAGCAGAACCCGGGATCTGTTCGCAGTGGCGCCATGGCATCTAACAAGAGGTACTTCAACGACGTCTTGCGGCGGGCAAGGTTTGAGAGCTGAGTGTTTGGACACAAACAACTCTCCGGCAAGCTCGTCGCCACTCGAGCTGGCAAGCTGGGTCCTGCTTACCGTCCACTACAACCTCCTGCAGTGTGTAGATGGGCATGTTTCCTGGCATCGCATGCACACGCGGAGCTCCGTCCGGCAGGGATGCGGTTCGTCCATGCTAAGCGAAAGGCTCTAGACATTTCGAGGCAATTTGCGCGCTCGCCACATCCTGTTGATTGCGGTCAGGCTCAAGACCACTCACTCAACGCCATAATCAAAATGGATTCTTACTTAAACTGCACAAAAGACTGCAAACAAAAGCTCAGAAGCAGACGCCGCTGGATGAGGAGATCACGGCGAACGAGTGCTGGCAATGATCCGAAACCTTTAAAAGCTTAGGCTTATGCTGCGTGGCACTGTCTCTCTGTTGCTGGCACGCGGGAACTCGAAAGTGTTTTATACAACACTAGCCCCTGAAATTCGCCTGGCTTGGGTGAATGCAACTGCTGGCTCTTGCCGCTGGAAAGCTGAAGACGGAGGAGTGGTGCGATGCTGCGATCTGTGTCTCTGTATTCCATGCCGGAGCAGGCCCAAACACGTGCTCATAAAGCCCATTGGGCACCTTCTTTTCCAGTAAGGCTATCTTTGGCCCATTGGCAGCGGATATGTCCACCATCGACAAGCCCACTCACTGTCCGTCTTTTGTGGGCCTTCATGCTAGAAAGCAAAACTCCAATTCTGCAAGGAGTTTGTGTGCAGAGGCCAGACGACGGTCTTCATCGTCTCCATTTTGGCCAAGGATATGCCCACAATGAGGGCGCACAGACCTGCTAGCCAAGCACCTCAACAAAGCAAATCAAGGTGCAGACGACATGTGCTTCAAGGGAAACATGGAGTCTGACATAGAAACTTCTGTAACAGTAAAAGCAGTTCTGCCGAGGTGCCCCTTTGCGAGAGGAGGGTTTGTGGACCTTTGGATGCCGTGTCGCATGCCTGGCAGCGCTTCAGCCGAGTCATCGCTGTCTGACGCTACATGGGTTTGATTTTGATGGTAGGTTGCCTGGCCTGCAAGTCAGCAATTGACTCGGTACTTGTGCTCTGTGCATCACGGGCAAGGCGTTGAAGGTGATGCTGCATCTTGCGGTTGAAACATGTTGAAACTCAGTGGTGCACATCGCACCAGCATTCTGACGCATTGACTCGGCGAGCCTCTTTCTGCACATCGCCTCTGCTTACTTCCGGCGTAGCTCTGCTAAGTCGGGACATGGCGTCCTCAACGAGGTGGTCGGGGCTGGAAAGGGAAGCTTAGGAAACAGGGACCCGACCTGCCTCGACACCCACGGCATCCCGAGCCTTCTGTCGCACAAGCGCGAGACTCTGTAGCGCCTGAAAGTCACAAGTCGATGCTCGGACGAGGCCTTCGCCCTGTTGCATCCAGCCTCTTGCTGCAATCGTAAGGCTTCCGGATCTTGGCATGAAGAGCACTCCTTCGAACCCGCATGTAACAAGCCTTCCCTGGCTGTGTTTGCTGTGGCGCATGAACTACCATGAGCACTTAAATGTCCAGCAAATGCAGGTCAGAGCCGTCTTGGCCCCACTCTGGGTCTTTGCCACCTTCGAGATCGTGGAGAAACCCAAACACGGAGTCCAGACAGCAGATCGCCCGTTGCCTGCTCGCTTCCATTTTGCTCGCAAAGCCTCCTCGGCCTCTGCCAACCGTCCCGCCTGCAAGACAAAAAGCCTATAATGAATACAGTCGTCCAGTCTCTCGGTCTCTCTCAGAACCTGCGCGGCAGCGAAGGCCCATTGGCCGCACAAGCGGGCCCACTCCAAGCCAGTCGCCGACTGACCATCCTCGGTGAGAAACTCACGAATCAAATTCCCCAAGTTCCTTCATGCGTCCAACACATGCCACGTCTTGTGTTGTGCCCAACTCCAGCTACCAGCCGCTACGCTGCTCCTGGGGTCACTCGCTGAGTACATATGCATGTGCCTTTACAAGGGAATGCAAGGGACCGGGGGAGTGGAGAGGGGGTGCCGGTCAGGCCCACCTCTCATTCAGTCATGGAATCTCCTGTTCCGTCATTTTTCGTGTCTGCCGAACCGCATCACATGAGTACAAGATCTCGTCTTGTTTGTGCATGCCATGTCTAATATCTGGCGTACCTTGACACGATTGTCAAAGTGTTTTGCAGGCAGCGACTAGTAACTAGCTCCAATCAAGTTCCCGCGCTGCTCATCTTTCAAGTGTCGCTTTCTGGTTCTTGCGACCCTTCTTGCTCCAAGCTGTCGCTGTCCCAGTCCCGGCTTCGGCAAACTAGGTCTCGGACCTGTCCTCGACGATTTGATTGGGTGCCACGCATGGAACCCGCGTCTGACGTCATTCAGCAGGACTGGACGAAACCAACGAAGCTTCTGTACGCTGCCCTCCAGCTGGCATCAACATCGGAGGACGAACATGCTGACGACAGCTCGCTTTCCGGGCGAATGGTGCCGTTTGCATAGGACGAGGCTAGCTCCTAAGCCGGCATCAAATCTTCCGGCGCACCCGTGCGGTGGAATCGATCCGTTCTAGCTTCTCTCGAAGACAGGCCGCATGTTGCCGCTTAATGCATGCATGCGCGCCTTGTAAACTACACATGCTAGCTGTATCGAGACTTAATCACATCGCAGCTTGCTTGCCGGAACGCTGCTGTGTACCTGCTGACACACATGAAACTCCCCAACTCCCCAGCAAGGGGGCGGACGACCGCAACATCAAGAAGGTGTCGCGATTCATTCAACACCTCCTGCAAGGCCGCCATGGCAAGGCATAAAAGCTGCTCCCAAAGCGAAGGCTTTTGCGATCCGTTCGCCTCCGCAGCTGCAGAGTCTCCCAGAGACAAGTGGAGCGAGCACACTGCCACCTGAAAGCTGAGAGCCGAGATCTTGGTCCGAACCCAACATCGCCGTACATGCCAAGAATGCTTTCAGCGCATCTGTACTGCTGGAATGACCATCACGAACTCTTCCGAATCAGCCCTCCCACTCCGCTGAATTAGGAAGTATTCTATTACAAATGGCTCGAGAAACAGAACCCCTCTCCGATTGAGCTTTCAGGGCAAGACTGCTTAGCCCTCGGATGTTGCACACGCTATCAATATGTGCCATCGCACGGACGACGGTCTTGCTGACAGCCAAAACCTCGCTCATGACAATACCGTGCAAACGTGTAAACATCCCTCCGCAGCCGTCCGTGTCTGCATCTGACTGTTATGAGTCCTGCCTGTGCCTGGAGCTGTCTCCTCAGAAGTCTTTCAGAGGCCTCGACGAAAAACAGGGATGAGAGTGCAAGGCTGTGTTCAAAACATCAAGCGTGAGGGTCAAACGACTGCCGGGGTCTGGGAACCTCAGCAAGTGAAGACTCTGACTGCACTGCTGCACCGGATGCGGCACCGAAAGGAGCAAAGCACTGGGTGCTCAACTCGCGACTGCAACGCGATTATCTTTCCTTCCTTTCAGCTGCCTGTCCGAACTACAACAAGGAACAAACTGATCTAACCAGCACAAATGCAGGTTGCCATGATGCAGTAAGGCTCCAGCAGACCGTGCGCAAGCTTTAGCTTCTCAATCGCACGCTCCAAAGTGGGCATGGCCTTGCCAATCGTGGCATTTGATGGCTCGGGAGGAGTTGCTACACTACAATGCTACGCTTCTCGGGCGACGACCAAGTCAGAAGCATTCGGATCCCCAGCTTCGAACTCCTTGTACGGTTCATTACGGTTCTCAATTGCTCCACTTGACCACGGACTGGCTTCCGAGTCCAGGCGAGCCTGAGCCAGGCGGAGACCAAACTCAAGTAGGGCCGTTCCTTCCAACGCGGGTGTCGAGTTGGACCTGCCGCTTCGCACTTCGCACGGCCCGAATTCCGAAGCGGCTGCGGCTGGCCCCAAACCTCTGCAATGCTTGAGCTGCTCGTCGAAAGAAGGAGAGCGCCTCCTGCTGCGGGGCGAGCCGACTTTGTATCCCCTCCCAATCCACATTTTGTAGAAGGCCTTGTCACCGACAGCTTCGGCAGCATGTCCCAAGGACAGGTTCAGAAGGCCTGCTCGCCTTGCAGGCACCAGGTCACTTGAGCGAATTTTCAATCAGTGCTTGGAAATGGCCTGCTACACTCGGGCTCCGAGAAAGGAACCTGCAGCACTTGCTGAACCAGTTCCCAGCACGTGCACGTGAGTTTCATCTCTTTGCCTGAGTGACACCCGCTTCGAGCAAACTGGCAGCTCTGCGGCCACATCGGAGGGAACCCTCCTTGAGAAACCAAACTTGAGCTCACGCAATTCCACAGACACCGTGACCAGCCAGCCCTACAGGCTCTACTGATGCGTCATACTTCTACTTTCCAATCTCAGGTCACTGCGAAGTCTCTCCTGGCCGCTAGACACTCTGCCAACACCTCGAGGGAAAATAGCAGGGACAGGATGCAACGTTTGGTGTGGCCAGTGCCTCGAGCGCATCAAATGCCAGTGCACGCGCAGTTTGTGTGGAAAGGGAGTCTATTGGACCTCCATTCTCCTTCACAAGCGCAGCCTAAGCCTAAGCATATCACTCGCTATGTCATGCCTTTCGGTCATTCGGTTACGGAAGCGGAGCACGCTGGTGGCCGTCCCTCCCGAATTAAAGCCACGTCCGAACTCAGGGTCTCCCATTCCAGCACTCAGCACACTGAACGGTTCGGGAAGCGAAAGCACCCCCGACCCCCAACAGCTCGCTGAACAGTGGACGAGGCAGAGCATGCTTGCTACTCTCTATCGAAGTTCACAGACCAGGATATATAAAGGGGATTTAAGGGGTCATGATGTGTCCTTCCGGTCCAAGTAGTCGACTGCTTGCGTCAACATGCACTCGGCCTGGCGTCGGAGACTTTCAGATCACGGAGCACACACTCAGAGTGCAGGCTCTTGCACCCAATTGCCTCCTTTGTTTGACCTCGCTTGAAGAGTTCGGCCCCCTTCTGCACCCAAACAGACGGCGAATCAACCTGCCCACATTCAAGCGACTGGGACGAAGAAAACATGCGTTTCTGACCAAAGAATGTCATCGCCACAGTTACAACACCACTTCAGGAGCCAACCACGAACGACGAGAGGATTGCAAACAAGTCCGTGTACCGTAGGTCCTGCGACTTCTCATCATCACATGGTACCGATCCCACGGCTGATTCCTGTTGGGCTGCCATACCATCCCACGACGTTCATGCCCCAGAGCCTTGCCCCGGCAAGGTTAGAAAAGACAGCGGAGAAGCACACACAGCATCGAACAAGGTCGTGCCTTGCGTGTCTCTTGTACCACGGTTCTTGTGTGTCACAATAAAGAATTCCAGGTTTGTTCTAAATTCAACTGCCTGCGTCTGCCATCCTGGTCGCAAGCTCTTTGCCAATTCTGTGGCTTGACCAGCTGCATCCTCCATGCAGTTCGTGCCCTCATGCACTCAAGGGTCCATTTGAAGCTCCTCATCCTTTCGCTTCTGCGCCCAAACTTGCGCATTTCGGAGATGCTGCCTCGGTTAGCTGAACAGGGTTTCGATCTCAACAGGCAGTGCTGCCCAAGTGCGCCGCTCGGCCAAGCCCTTCCGACTGCCTGCCAGGCGCGCCAGGATGAGTGCTGCCTTGCTCCGCAAGCACCAGAAACAAGCTGCCGACAGGACTGATACGTACCCGGAATCCCTGAAGTCTGACGCAAAACAAACAGCCATCTAAGAAGCACTTAAATTCTCCATGCTCCCGGACCTCAGAAAACTGTGTGCCAGCCTTTGTCCAACGGAGAAACGCTGTAGCAGCATGAAGCCAGTGGTAACCTCGATCTCGGCTCCCTGCATGAGGATTCTCTGGATCAATCTCCAGTGCCGCGTTTGCAAACTGAGTTGCGACCGCTTCTGCCTGCGCGATCATTCGTGCGCTGGATCTAGGGTCTGAAAGCAGGGGAGCATCAGGCCTGGTGTCTCTCTTCTGCTCCGGCGAGCCCAACGACCTGGACAGGACATTCTCCATGCTTCCCACCCAGCGACAAGAGCAAGGGCAAGCGGATAGTGTCACGTGGCATTCTGGTTCTTGCGACAGAATTCATAGACAAGCTGATACAAATGCCCCAAAAAATCATATCAGAGCTGCAAGATGCTCCAAGTCACTCAAACCAGAATCCACTGAGGGCTGAGGGTGGTGGTGCAGCAATTACCCCGCCCGGGCCCCTCTCAGCACCAGGCCCCGGCATGCCCCAGCACAGCACCCGACAAAGATACCAAATGTTTCCGCGTGGCTCTAGATTCTACGGGAAAGCGTTATGGCACGATTTCACAAGGATGAAGAAGCGGGCCTGCATGGCAAGGCACGCTGCATTCAGACGGCATTGAAGCGCCAAGCTGGCTTCCTCGGACTCCTGAAAAGCATCTGCGAGCCCCCTTGCCCAAGGTGAAAGCTTGAATGCCTTGATGTGCCCCTCCAGCAGGGCATCGGCTTTGCGATACATTGCCAGGGCCTACATGAACAGACGAGAGCCCCATACCCATCTTGCATATTGCACGGTCCTCGCAAAGATGCTGCTGCCGTGGCCGCGCCTCCTTGAACATGACACAACGATGCTGATCACTTCCGAGGAGTTAAAAAAGGTCCTCGGCCAATGGCCCAGCCTGCTCTTCCCGTGCATGGTGGGCCAAAGCATTTGCCTAAATTCGCGGCCAGCTGAAGCGTGGGTTTGCAAGTGGAGCGAGATGCCCAGCCCAGCCCAGCCTGCTCGCGCAAGCTACTAGCTTGCGAAAAACCGCTTTCGTCTCCGTCCAGCTCCGGTTCGTCCTGATGCGCAGAGGAAAAGATCCTTGGGCAATGTGCCAAAAACACGCAGTACATTCAAAAACACCACAGGCACCTAGACTTGAGACCGATGCTGTTGTACTCTTATCTCCCGTCACTGCCCCGGTGCCTGAAGAAAGTCCCATTTGCTGGATCGTAGCGACACCATGTCTTCTGCTGGTCACCATCAATTCAACCCACCATTAATACAACCCTGTGTGAATTGTGTGCTGGACGCTCGACCTGCTATATGTACGGATCCGTCACATGCCACGGCTAAGTGCTCGAGAATCCAGTCTGTTGGAGGCCAGAGGAAGCAGTTCCACACTTGGCGTTCCAAGGCCTTCCAGACGCTGCACGCGAGCAGTTCTGTTCCTTTTTCGCTGCTGGCGCATCCACCGGCTCGAATACTCGACAGCTCTCCTTCACAACCTTTCGCTTCTAAGAACCGTGGTCTGGTTCAATAGGACAGCGGATTGTGCATCTGCCCGCAACTTGATGCAAACATGAGCACATGGAGGGAGATCTCTGGACTTCGAAAGGACTCTGTGCCTCCACACAAGCATTGCGACTGAGAGCACCACTTCACACGATTCGAGAGCCGTCTCCGATTGGGGAGAAGTCCGTTTCGTCGATGGCTCCTCGGTGCAGGTGAAGTTCGTCCAGGCTATCACAAGATGGCAGAAGCAGTGGAGGGTGCGGCACCTGTCTGAAGCAGACTGACTGCATCGGAGATTCTAGCCTCAATCTGGGCACCAAGGTGGCCTGCCCCAACCCTTGGCAAGAGCAAGAACTGGAGAAGCTTTGCGGGCTTCACAGGACTCTGTCTGTACGCGACTGAGTCGAGGGCCACTCTTGCATTTTGGATGCAGGAAACGGGCCCTGGACTTGCCCATAGCTGTCCTTGTAATACCACTGACCTCGTGGTACACAAACTGAAACAATGCACAAGGCAGTATCACAAGGTACTAGCAGCTAGCATCAGTCATGCTAGCATTGGTTCCTGGCGATCGCAAATGCGAACACTTCCCACTCGCTTCAATGCAACATCGAGATCACGCTTTTGTTGCTCGGTAGCGTACAGGTCAACTGGGTTGCATCATCTATCTGCAGTTTCAGTCCTCATCGGCAGCGGCAACATCGGCTGACAAGGTGTTTATGGCATCCTCCGCTTCGGGGCGCATCATCTCAACACCGACGTCATCGCCACCATCTCCGTGAAGCTCCATTAGCTTGGTGATGTCGAACTTTGGCTTCTTCATGATCTTCACTTTTCGGATCAAGCAATCCTTCAAGGGGAAGATTCCCTGCGTCTGCTTCTCAATCTCTTTGCCAATGGACTCGGGAATGAGCTTCTTGACCAGCTCTCGCAGCTGGACTTTGCTCGCCTCTTGCGTCATGATCTCGACCATCTTGCGACGAATCTTGCGAATCTGTGCAGACTGCGCGTAGCAGTTGGACTTGACCTGTTCTGGTCGGCGCTTCGTGAAGGCGATGCAGAACATGCGGACGACGTAGTTGTCCGTCGTCTTGACATCTACCTGTGCCTCGATGAGCGTCTGCCACTTCTTGATCAAGCTGCAGATCTTGTCGCGCGTGAGTGTCATGCCATGGAAGTCCGTGAGGCAGCTTCGGCCTTGGACCTCTTCGATGCAGAGACGGACCTTCTTGGAAGCCTGGTCCTCGTCGTTGTTCAAATCCGCCAAGTTCACCTCCAGCACACGGCCCTTCAGCTCTTCTGTGGCGATCTTCGTACCCTGTGTCCTGGACACCAACGTCTTGCCACAGTTCCGCACGGTGAACATGCTCGGGGCCTCACTCTCACACGTTACTCTGTGGATAAGCAGAAAGCACACTCTCTAAACTCACCAGACTACAAGAAGCCAAGACGCCTTGATGTCATACCATTCCTTCCTCAAGAAGGGATCACCTGCTTTCTTCTTACCACCTTTCTTCCCCCCTTTGGTGAGGCGCTTGTTCTTGCCAACTGCCATGGCGACCTACCAGCAGTGTACGCACCTGCTTGATCCCTGTGAGAAGCGGAGAGATTGCACGATTTAGCCTACTTCTGCCTATCTGAAGGCCAGCACAGGGCAAACTCAGCTGAGTGTTTGACGCTCCGGCGAAGCCGACAGTGATTGCGCCTGGTGCAATTTCCCAGAACATGTCAGTATCGCTGCCGCACATCGAGGAACTCCAAAGACGACGTAAACTCCATAAAGTAAGCTGCAAACGGATATGCCGCCTGTCAGGTACCGAACATGTAGCAGAATGCAGTAGGGTAGCCACTGCCTGTGTGATCCTGTGTGCACTGCCATGTCTGTGGCCCATTGGGCCCTGACCATCAGCAGCAGCGTCACCTCCACCGTAGCCGCTGTAGCCGTCATAGCCCCAGTAGCCACCCTGCATCGAGGATCATCGAAGTGGATCGTTAGTTGTGAACGGAGGAGGTAGATTCAATTCTGGCAACGGCACAACGGTTCCAAGACAGCATGGGGCCCAGGTGCGTATCACACTCTGCTGTTGGCGCTTCAGAGATGTTCGGTGCACTACGCTTCCACCTGCTTCTCATCTGGGTCCAACTCCTGTGGGAACTGTCGAAAACACTGCGGTGTACTGTCTGTCTTAGAGTTGAACGCAGCGTTCTCCTCGGCGTCCTCGTCTTCCGAATCCGTTCCGGAATCGAACTGGTCGGGATTGTCCGGATCCACCTTACAGGAGCAGCTCCACACTTAGGTAGCTGATACCCACTCACTTCGCATGAACGACCTCCGGCCACATGTAGTGCAATGTGTAGCCCAAGAAAGAGTTGACCTGTGCATGAAGAGAAGCAGAGATTCAGCAGACTGCGTTCACCCCGAACTTAGAGCCCTACCAATTGAAGCACGGCGCTAGCGCAAGCGAGAATGAAGGACAACCTGTCACGTTCCAGATCTTTCCCCAAAACCTGTGTGTCTGTCAAGGCTGCGACCCGGGTGGTGGAACAGGATACCAGGACTCTTCGTTCAGCTCCTCGAAAATACCCTGTCCAAGGGGTGTGTCGTAAAGATCCTTCATGATGGAATGAGGTCGGTGGCCTCAGTCATGATAATCCAGAAAACTGTACCGGCAATGTTCAGCATCGCAGCCACCTCAGCCGTAGATACGCAAGCACGAACCTCTACGAAAAGTTCTGAGAGAGGCAAGGGCAGGCCACCAGTTCGCCGCCCATCGCAAGGTTCGAGTTGTCAGCACAACCGTCCAGTACAGACACAACCTTGGTTCGGTCAAAGTTGTGAAGCGGCTTAAAGCTGCGAGCCGCTCAGGACACTGCGTTTGCACGATTGTCCCGATAATGATTCCCAAGGCTGCACCTTCAGAGGAACACTCGAAGTTTGATTGACCAGATCCTTGCGAGAATAAGCTTCTCCACGGATCCACAGTCCATGCTCTTTCTACCTGCTGAAACACCTCCGACAATCAAATTTTCTGCTCACCCTGCTGCATCTGAGTTGCTATAGCTGTAGAGGCACAGCTCGAAATAAGAATTGCATTTCAGAAGGTACCTGCATCTGGATACTGATCTGTAAGTGTGATGTCAGGATGCAAATTCGAAATGTTTTGCTGGGTGGCTGGCCATCTGCAAATTGGTGAGAGACAGGAATTGCCGAGCATCAGATGACCATACCACTTGCCTCTTGGACCCGCGGCAGAGCCACACAAGCAAGCAGCTCTACTCGCGCGAGAAACTGAAACTGAAGTCCCAGAAGCAGTTGTTGTCGAACATGGTATGGTGGAAGGTCGTCCTGTTTTCCCGACCACCAGGGTGCAAAGGCACAGCGGCAAAGCATTCCCGACCGAGCATCCGGCTTGTGGCCCTGGACATAGAGCAGGCCCCAGTTCCTACCATGTTTAGAAAACCGAATCATCTCCTGTACGAACTACGACACTTTGATGCCTTCTGGTACCGTATCCGATGAGCCCGACCTTTAGACGCAGCTGCTAACTCGTTCAACGTGCAAAAACAACCTTGGCGGAATCGCTTCAGGCACGGACCCAGCTAGAACGCCAGTTGGGAAGGACGATGGCCATGATGTTGAAGATCCTTGATTCTGATTCGCAACGAAAACTCCTACCGGCAAAAAACCAACACCACCGAGCCCCGCACAAACCCAAAGAACCAACGATGATGGCTGTGCGCGAAGCCTTGGTGTAAGCTGTGCGCCCTTCTTTGCGTCGCTCCTGCCAGCATCGCGAAAATTGCCGTACACAAACGAACACAACAGTAGATCCCACGAGTGAACCTGGAAAGTGTTCAGCTTTCTCCGCTTCAGATATTCTTGCTGCAAAGCCTCGATGGCAAGCAAGAGCTGTAGCAGCACGGTAAGCCATTGGAATGCCGGAACAACCATCCCGCAGAAAACTGCCCTTGCTCAGGAATAAGTCCCGTGCACCACGGTCCATGTTGAAGGAACGCACCTGGCACACAGCAACAAGCACCCGAAGAGATGCAGGACATAGGACAGATCCATACGAATGCATTGCGAAAGCCGCGCCGATAAACGTGCTCGTTCGACACAGATGGAAAGG